ATGAACTAGTCTAAAAAAATCCATACAAAACCGCGAACCTTTCATTCAAAACTAGTTTTTTTCTTAATAACAAACTTGAACATGCAAACTTGAAAAGCAATCAAAATAATTAATACAACTTAGTTGGACGAATTTCTTAGCGCCTTGTGCCTGACTCTTCTTTGCCTTACTTTACATGACAAAGTACATTCGCAAGATGCCCACCAACTTTTAACTGTTCATAGGTGCCTGTTAAAGCACCCAATATCCACAAGTCTTTAAATATCGCACAATTTTTTTTTCCTAATTAAAATCTCAACCAGCCCAACGAGCACACTCAGAAATTCAACGCACGAATAGTACACAAAATATTTAACAACCCGAATTAGTACTAAAAAAAGTGCCACGAAAAGTAAATCAAAAACAATGCTAACACGGATTTTTATCTATGCAAAGCGAGAGTTGAGTGGCGTGCAAACTAAAGCTATTTAAACGAATTAAACATTTATGTATAGAGTGTGTGTGTGCGATGTTAACCAGAGCGCCACAACCAAGCGTAGACGCAGTCACGCAGGCCAGTTGTAAGGCAAAAAAGCTTCATACCACATAGTTACGTATGGAAGTATATGTATGTATGTAGGCCCAGTTAAAGAGCCAGTTATTTCGACAACCAATAAGTCTATCTGTCCGTTTGTCTGCTTGTCAGTTAGGCCGTAAGCTAAATAACCAACAAGTCATACGCGTTGTTATGCACCTTCACACTTAAACACATACATATGTACATAAGTATGTATGCACAGGCGTAGGAGTGCTTAAGTTAGGAGTTTCGTACTGTGGTGTTTGTCACTGTGTTTTCGCGTGCATAAATAAATAAATTCAAATCCTTAAGTACTTATCGCAAAATCGCGAAGCAACAAAACAAAGGCGCCCATTATTAAAATTTCAATTCCAAACAAGGCGAAAGCGAGACTTTTAGAAGCGAATGGAGGCAAGTATGTGTGTTGATGTTGGCTATGGTGTTGATGTTGGTTAAAAGCGGCGATGCCGCTAAACAACTTTAATTAAATTCATTAGCTTTTAAACACTTTACAACGCTGCCTTCCAAGTCATAAATCTTTTTCGTTGGCGGCGACACATAAAACCGTAAGGGAAGTTGCACAAGAAGGCAGTCGTAGAGGCAGCGGGTAAGAGAAGATACAGTGGTGGACGGTGCTGTGTAACAAAACATAAATGTTGCTAAGTGTTTGGAGTGTTTGAGGCAAACTGGGTTAGATAAGGTAACATAAGATAATATAACATAACATAAGATAACATAACATAAGATAACATAACATAAGATAACATAACATAAGATAACATAACATAAGATAACATAACATAAGATAACATAACATAAGATAACATAACATAAGATAACATAACATAAGATAACATAACATAAGATAACATAACATAAGATAACATAACATAAGATAACATAACATAAGATAACATAACATAAGATAACATAACATAAGATAACATAACATAAGATAACATAACATAAGATAACATAACATAAGATAACATAACATAAGATAACATAACATAAGATAACATAACATAAGATAACATAACATAAGATAACATAACATAAGATAACATAACATAAGATAACATAACATAAGATAACATAACATAAGATAACATAACATAAGATAACATAACATAAGATAACATAACATAAGATAACATAACATAAGATAACATAACATAAGATAACATAACATAAGATAACATAACATAAGATAACATAACATAAGATAACATAACATAAGATAACATAACATAAGATAACATAACATAAGATAAGATACGATACGATAAGATAAGGAAAGTGAATTCAAGGAAATGAAAGTGAAGGAAAGGAAAGCAAAGTTATGACAAGACAAGATACGATAAGATAGCATAATATAAACGAGTATAAGATCAGATCAGATAAGATAATACAAGTTAAGATAAAATTAGATAAGATCAGATAAGACAAGGCAAGACAAGATAAGATAGGATAAGATATAATAAAATTAGAAAAGATAAGGTAAGATAAAATTAGATTAGATAATAAAAGATAGGATAAGATAACATAAGACAAGATAAGATAAGATAAGGCAAGAGAAAAGATAATATAAGATAAGATCGGAAAAGAAAAAATTGATAGGATAATATAAGAAACGATGGGATGAGATATATAAGATAAGATGATATAAAATAATATAAGATAAGACGAGATAAGATAATATAAGCTAAGGTGAAATTAAATAAGATAAATTTATATAAGCTAAGTTAAGTTAAAGCTAGATAAGATAAGATAACAAAAGATGAGATAACATAATATAATATAAGATGAGATAAAAATAGATTGGATAAAATTGGATAAGATAAGATGAGATGGGATGAGATAAAATAAGAGATGAGATGAAATAAGATAGGATACGATCGATGCCCAGTCGAAGTCTCTTAAAAATGTTTAATTGTCTTTCTTCATTTACCTAAAAGAGGTAGTAACGGGCTTTCCCATCTACATCTGGAACAATATCCTGATTAATTTGGGAGATACTGGATCGAGAAACTTACCTTCTTTCCTTATGATATCTTTAAAAATGTTCCCAAAGTTTGATAGGTCTTTTCGGTGGCGCTTCCAATTTATCGCTTAACCGAATTTGGGATATCTTATTGGCCTGCACTGTTTCTATGAGGTCAGTAGGAAAGAGCAAAAGAAAAGAGGATTTCAGTATGAGTGATTCGGGATTTGATGGAAGTGAGGCAGGTGTTGGACAGACAGAAGGAAGTCTGTCTGCTGAAACAATGAAAGACCAGTAACCAGTTAGCGAAAAAGTACTTTGTTGCTGCTGTTATCTAGGATGTGCAGTGAAAATCTTTTGTTTCACGAGCACACACACATTTGCACTCTTTCAAGTGAACGAACGCACTAAATCATGCAACTAAATGCAAAACGGTAGTCAGTGCGCTGTCAGCGAGTTGATGTCTCCAGTGGAGCAATAAAACACNTTTGTTGCTGCTGTTATCTAGGATGTGCAGTGAAAATCTTTTGTTTCACGAGCACACACACATTTGCACTCTTTCGAGTGAACGAACGCACTAAATCATGCAACTAAATGCAAAACGGCAGTCAGTGCGCTGTCAGCGAGTTGATGTCTCCAGTGGAGCAATAAAACACAAAATTTTCTGTGTTGTTGCAGTGGGTGAAGCTTAAGGGTGGGGAAATAGCACTGGCGTTTCATTGTAATACACGAAAATTGTGAGTGGAAGTGGAAAATGCAGGAAAGATGCAAATGACCAACGAAAAGATAAGAAACTAAGAATAAGATAAAAAAAAAACAACTTTAATATCCATAGTTTAATATGTACGTACGCAAGTATACGTACGTGTAAGTGTACTATGTGTGTTTGCATATTCAGATTGAAAAGTGCAAGTGAATTTAGAGCTGCAGGCAAGACACGCCACCAGCAACGGCTGGCAATTTGCAATACAGACGTGCAAACACGGCATTCTTGTCCATTGTTTGTACCTCTCATTGTCTAGCTGTCGCTTCGCATAAATGTTTATGTGAGTGTGTTTGCATATTTAGCCAGCAATCACTACACTGCAGTGAAAATGAAGAAGTGCTACACCATCTCATACGAATGTTGCAACCAGCATAGAGACGCACTGAGGCGCTACGTGCAATAGCCACATTTCACGTACATAGATACCACTTAAATACCAGCCAGCGAATGTGTGGGTGAGTGTGTGAGCTATAATTTATTTGCTGTAAAAGCGTTGAACGTCAAGTAATAAAGTAAGTACAAAAGCAGTAGCAGCAACAAAAAAAAATACATTTACCAAATGTGACGTAGTAAACGAGCGGAAAAGTAGTCGTAAGCGCCAGGAAAAGGAGAGAGAAAAAGGAAGAGAATTGAAATGTAAATAAATTGTTAAAGAAAAGGGTAATAAAAAACGAATAGAGACAGACGAAACAAGACAGAATGTGCAATAGATGCACAAATAAAAAATTTAAAAATAAATAAGCGTCAACAGCGCTAGAATAATCAACGTTCAAAGCAACAGTTATGCAAATAATTTGTATAATCCCATTCTTATTTAATTTGTAATGTAAATTTGGACTCTTCTAATATCAAACTCTCGACTGTTGCTCAATCATTTATTTAAATTTCTTCTTGATAAACCGTGGATTAGCTTTAGAGAAAGGAAAGAAAAGCGAATGGTTATTGCTTAACTTCGGCCAATTTTTTTCTATATATTTATTCCGATATTTCAATGGGGGTTGATTATCACAAATTAATTAAACGGTTCAACGGTTTTGGATTTGATTTTTCTGGAATTGTGGGCATTGTCGGTGGGGTGCATCTGAAGCCTTGGCTAACGGCAGTAAGACTGTAGGCACTGGTGAGAGCATTTCGATATACATATTCGGCTTAAGGGTCCACTTCAGTATAAAACGTTCGGTGCATTTTGTACAAATTTGAGAAATTTGGATGAGGAAAAAGCCTATAGCGTTGTCAATTCGATTCGCTATATGTATAGTCATGTGAAAAATAATAGATACACCGCATTTTGACCAGTTTGGCTATTTGTTCTTTTTTTATGTTTATTATTTCCTATGACAGCATGGCGCAATATCTAACAAAAACCATATAAGTACAAATTTTGAACTTTGTATAAATATTTGAAAAAATTCAACAAAAATTTACAACAACAAACTTTTTATAAAGAATTTTTTGAAAAATTCTAAGCATGCAGTTTTATAGCCCAGTATATTCTAGCAATTCGCGTTGATTTTTGATAACTAAGTCTTAATTGGATTTTTATATAAGAAATTAGTTTTTGAAAAAATTGCAAATAGAGAATATAAGCCGTATAGTGAATGAAAAAACAAAAACAAATGGAATAATTGCGTGAACAAGTTTTCTCCTCTTAATGTATTTTTGTTTTGTTTTAGGGACTCGTGGTCACAACTTACTTCTGAATCGAAGGCCATGCTTGGTTTTATTGTTTGATTCTTTATAGTCCCGGAGACGCTTTCATTTTCTTCACGAAAGTCAATCGAGTTGCCAATTACCTAAAAAAATAAAAAAATAAAATTAAACAGTTAATTAGAAATGGATATTCCAAGAAAAGAGCTTGATAAATAAACATATTTCATGAGACTTATTAGCTATCTAAGCAATGGAAATTAATTTATATGTTGAAATATTGGCATCAAACGATAACTAGTGGGCATATATTAGGGTGTTCGATTATTCGACATTTTTCAAAAACCGGTTTTCGAAAGGCAATTTCAAAAAACCTGGTTAAATCGTATATTTGTTTTAATAAAAGCCAAAATTTGAATAAAACTATTAAAATTAGGAATGGCTTTCATCTAAGAGAACACTAAATGGCACAGCTATACGTATGTACACTAGGGTTGTAGAAAAGTGCACATGAAAATAGTAAAGCCGAAAAAAATAAACTCCGTTTTTTTCTTATTTTGAAATACATATTTAGAGGTCGCTCAAAGTTTTATATGTATGTATTTTATATGGGAAAAAATCATAATGCAATGCATTTTTTTGGGGTTTTGAGGGACCTATAAAAAATAGTTACTATTAAAGGATGGTTAAATAAACAATTGGGTATTGTAATTGGAAGACTTCTAAAGAAGCACAGAGTTTTCGGTTCGAAGAATATTGATTTTCAATATTCTATTCCATTTCTACGATTTTTTTTAACAAAATTCATGGAAAACTTTGAGCGCTTTGTTTCGCATTCGTTGGCTGCATTAAACAATTTGCTGTAAAGTTTTTAATTTATACTGAAGTTACTTATAAAACGTAGCTACTTAGACTAACAGAGGTTATGAATAAACCCGTAGATAGTGGAAAATATGATCAGCGTTTTTCGCCAAATGCCATTTAAGCGGCGACGCTACAACAAAATCACTTTATTCAGCACTTACTTGCAGTCGAAAGCGCAAGCGCAGCTCCTGTCCTGCGACGGCACTCCATCTATGTACATATGTAGCAACAGCGGTTGCGCGACCGATCATTATAGGCAGCCGCAGCTGTTAATACACCAGAGCATTACTGGAATTCCATTACAGCGAAATTCCATCGCCGTTACCGACAAATAGATGCGCGCGCGCACGGCATTGACTGGCTACGAGTGAGAACACCAAGTTAACCAACTTAATAGCTTAAGTTAGTAAAAAGTCGCCAGTAGCGGAAACCCTTTTAACAGACCATTTAAAGCTTCATGCGCGTTTAGTTAGACTGTTTGTTCTTCGGCGTTGCGCCAGAAAGAAGATAATGAAGGCGGTGATGATGATGATGATGATGAACAACTCACATGCCGGCTGCCAAGCTCACACACAGTAGCTACTAAATACGCCAAACTCGAGGCTGAGTGGCATACTTGTTTTGTCGACGGCGCGCCTTACTTTCAAACATAATTTGGCCTATGTAGCTCTAGGCACTACTTATGCATTCGCGCTTCATTTACACTTACTACACCAGCAATAACAACAAATACATTAGTACTGCCTTTACTTGGCTGCAATAAAATAAAATTGTTCGGCTTCCTTTTTTTAGCCAACCTCACAGCGTGAGGCGTTCTTATGCCGCTTAATAGACAAGTGTTCTTCATCCTTTTTGGTATGATCCCGGTTAAGATAAGTCACCCAGACAACGATTCGAATCAGCCTGCGACGTGTCGCTTTGTGCTGCTTTGGATGCTGTCAACGGTAACCAAGTCCAATGGAATTACCAATACCATAAAAGGTTGTTAAAAGGTTTCAACTGCGCGATTCCATAAAATTCCAAGCAAGCATAGTTGGCACAGCATTTTGCACACATCAACTCACTGCGTGTTGCCGTTTTTGGGGGCTTTCACCGCAGTCTCAGCCTCAGCCTCAGCCTCAGCTTAGCTCCCGATAGCAGCTTAATACATATTTACAATATGTATGGTCAATTATTTTATCGCAGCACGATCGCTAATCACATATGTATACACCCATGAAACAGGACTGTCATGTTGTTGTCGTTGTTGAACAAATGTTGCTGCCGATGAGGTTACAGTTGTAGCTTAGCCAATTGGCCATATTTGTGCTATCGTTCGCTACTTGCCTCTAGCTGTTTTGTTTAGGAATTAACAAATATTTGCGCTTTTATGGTCATTGCTGAGATGACAGCAGCATTTGTTGGGAACCACAAGTTCGTATTATAATATTTTAAGATTACTATTTTAACTTTGTTATTAGCAATGCTGAATTTCGTGAAAATAGTTCCGACTCTTCGCTTTGATGACTCGCTTGGGAAATTTCAAAAAAACTGTCAAAATACACATATATGGATTTACACTAGGATGCATCACTGTCCATACAAAAAAAAATGGCACCGGTTTTCCATAAGAAATATAAAAGTTATTATATTCGTATTTTAAGACTTCCGCCAAAATATTTCGTGAAAATTTTTACGTGAGCTGGACCTAATTGATTATACCACCAAAAATCTATTTTTTATGAATAAAATTAGTTTTTAAGCGACTTCACAAAAAGGAGAAGGTTATCAGTTCGTCGAAAAATTTTTTTTCATGTATATTACCGCATAACTTTGGACCACGCTAAACGATTTCTATAATTCTTTTTTTAAAGGAAAGGTGTTACCTCACAGGTGGTCCCATACCGATCATTGGATCATGAAGAAATTAACGATAACCTTAAATTTTTATATGAGATTTGAAGTCGGTTTTGTTTTTTGCTTAAAAAGTAGTTGTTAAAAATGTTTTTTCTAAAAATCGTCTCAGATGAAAGAAGAATTTAAGCTAAAAATGTGCGCTTAAAAATGTTTAAAAAATTTATAACTGAATCAACATAATATTATTTTTGGAGATATTTTCAAAGCGGTCTAGTTCACGTAAATTTTAATATTTTTCTGAAATATTTTAGTGGAATCTTAAAGCATAATAATTCCGTTGGAAAACCGCAACTTGTTTTTGGTGATACATCCTAATGTACATATTATGTCAATCGAAATTTATCAATTTCAATTCTAACAGCTAACCAAAACTCGTTAGATGCTTTAATATTTATTGAGATGAGCAGAAGGCACTTTAAATACTCACGAATAGATCAGTTAAGCTTTCATAATAAAATTTAATTGCCGGTTGTCGAAGCCGATTTCCATAACTGGCTCTTCTGCAGGCGGTAACCCGATTGCCGCGGAAGCGAAGTCGTCTCCTTTAGGAGATGGAATGCACGA